GCCACCCTGAGCATTGGGGACAGATTTAGGAGAGGCAGACAGCAAAACAGCACCAGAGGGCACAAGGACAGCATGAGGCCCTTCCTTCCTTCTTCTTTTCCTTTTCCTTTTCCTTTTCCTTTTCCTTTTCCTTTTCCTTTTCCTTTTCCTTTTCCCCATCTGTATGGCAGCTGTCTTCTGTTCAGAGGGCAGTTTTCCTTATCACTTCCACAACTGAGGGGACATCTGCTGATAACAGCTATTGAATGTCACTGCATGGCTGATAAGAACTACAGCATCCCATTGGGAGATGTGAGCCCAGAGGGAGGAGCCAAGCATTCCTACCCAGATATAATCCAGAGGTTTTTGAGACACCAGCACGGCTTCTCCACTGGATTCCCCAGAGGAACAGCAGCTGCCTCTCCTTCCACTGGATCTTCAGAGGAAGAATCCATCCTTCTCTACAGGATCCCTGCTCCAGCAGAACCACCCCTGGACACTGCAGGAGGGCTGAGCCACAATTCCAATGGGACTGCCACCAACACCCTGACCCACAGGGTGTCAGGTTGAGTTCTGACTCTGGCAGTGTTGTTCTAGTGTACTGCATGGTTTATTTTATCCTTTTTATTTTCTTCCCTATTAAAGAACTGTTATTCCTGCTCCCATAATTTTTGCCTGAGAGCCCCTTAATTTAAAATTTATAGCAATTTGAAAAAATGGGGAGGGTTTATAGTTTCCATTTCAGGGGAGGTTCCTGCCTTCCTTAGCAGCCTCCTGTCTTTCCAAACCAAGACGGGGCCCCAGAGCTGGACACAGCACTGCAGGTGCAGTCTCACAAGGACAGAGCAGACTGGAACTGTCCCCTCACTCTGCTTCCTGGCTGGGTTTATGAGACTCCAGCCAGGCAGTGCTTTATCAAACCTTGGGTCAGTGCCCCTCTCCCTCCCTTCTTAGCCTGTTGTCTCAGGTTCAAGGGCGCAATTCCCACAGTGTAAAGAGTCACAGGGTGATAGCTGAGCCCTGGTTGCTGCATTTCCCAGTACCAGGTGTTCTTCACAAAGGCAAGGTGGCATTTTCACCTCATTTCTTTCACTACAGCTATAGGTGTCCATTCCTTATCTCTTTAAGGCCCCTGTAAGTCCCAGGATGAAGACCAGGGCTAAGGGTCACTTGAAAAGGAATTTTTTAGCACAAGGTTGCAATGATGTCACAGATAGCGCTCAACCCAGGATCACCCAATTCCCCCATAAGTCAGAAGGATTTTTGTGGGAAAAAAACCTGTTTTCCTAAGTGCTTTTTTTTTTCTTCCTGAGAGTTCAGGCTCAGCAGGATTGGCTGCCTCTCCCAAAAACTCTGTGTCAGGTTAGGCCAGCTCTGAATTTGTTCCTGCAGCTGGTTTTTGTGACCACACTCCCTTAAATAGGAGCTGAGCAACAATTGCAGGCAATATTGTGGTTGCCCCTGCCAGCACCTGGAGGCTTTACTACAAGGTGGTTATTGATCCTGGTAGATAACAGCCTTTCCTGTGGAAACCAACAGTATCTCCCACAGATAATTAGGCTGTAAATTATTGGGGATTATTTTCATAACTTTGGACTTGGCTTCAGTTTGTTGTCTTTTTCTGAGGGAAGAAATAGTCATGGTTTATTTTCATAAGAATCTTCTTAAGGCTTATTGATGGGAGTCAATTTCAGGGCTCATTTAAATGAGACACATCCTCAAAGCCTTTGCTGAATCAAAGCTCAGAGCTCTCCTAGCATTTCAAGCTTTTCTTTTTTTTCCTTTTTTTCTTTTTCCTTCCACTTCACCTTTTAGTTACGTGATCCTGAGGGCAGAGATGGTGTGATAGGAGCTCCAGCTGTGAGGCTGGGGGTGCTGGGATTGCCAGCAGGATGAAACTGGTGATAAGGCACAGCTCCCTCCTGTGATAGGTGCTCCCAGTGCTGGCTGCATTTGATCCTGAACCATGCAAAACAAGAGGAACATTGCATTCCTCTGCCTCCCATTCATGTATTTCACCACAAGGGCTGTTCTCTGGCTGCTCCACGGTGGGTGTGAAAGATTATCATCTGCCACAGCAGAGCCAAACTCTGGCTGCAGATAATTATGCAGAAGGTATCTCATCCTCCCCGGGGTCACTCTTCTACCAAGTGTTTTCACTCAACCTGCCAGTTTTTTGGGGGAGATAAACCTGCTTGAGCATGTCTCCTGAGCTGCAGAGCAGAGCTGTTAATATTGGATAGAGCTGGCTGCTCATTTCCTCTTCTACCTGCTCTCCTCTGTGCTTTTGACAACAAAAAAGAGAAATGCTTTGTGCTTCTTAAACTGCAGTGAGGATGTTCCCATTCCTCATAGCATGAAAGCACCAGGGCAAAGAGACACTCAGCCACTAAAGCTTGGTTTGGAATGCAAAGATGTGCCCAAAACAGCATCTTCTGTCTCCAGTATTTGTCAGTTCATTAGGAGATTAGGGGATCAATGATCATAAAATCCTAAAATGGTTTGGGCTGGAAGGGACCTTAAAGATAATTTCATTCCACTCCCTGCTATGGCAGGGACACATTCCACTATCCCAGGGTGCTCCAATCCCTGCCCAACCTGGCCTTGGGCACTTCCAGGGATCCAGGGGCAGCCACAGCTTCTCTGGGCACCCTGTGCCAGGGCCTCCCTGTGGTGGTGTTCACAGGGGTCTGAGGATGAGGGAAGAGATGAGAATGTTCACTTCATGTTTCAGAAGGCTGATTTATTATTTCATGATATATATTATATTAAAACTATACTAAAAGAATAGAAGAAAGGATTTCATCAGAAGGCTGGCTAAGAATAGAAAAAGAATGGTAACAAAGGTTTGTGTCTCAGACAGAGTCCAAGCTAGCTGGGCTGTGATTGGCCATTAATTAGAAACAACCACATGAGACCAATCACAGATGCACCTGTTGCATTCCACAGCAGCAGATAATCATTGTTTACATTTTGTTCCTGAGGTCTCTCAGCTTTTGAGGGGAAAAAATCCTAAGGAAAGGATTTTTCATAAAAGATGTCTGTGACACCTCCCCACCCTCTCAGGGATGGATTTCCACCTGACATCTCATCCAAACATCCCCTCTGCCAGTTTAAATGCATTGCCCCTTGTTCTGTCTCCTCATGCTGTTGTCAAAAACCCTTCTGCAGCTCCCCTGTACCCTTATTTATTGATGAAGCCAAATGGCCTCTTCTTTGGGCTTGTCCCCTTCCCACAGTCCACAGAGGAACCTGCAGACCATGTTCAGATCCCTCCAGGTAAGGGAGAGATCACCTCACCCAGGATTTTCACAGGAGTTCTCTGTGCCCAGGCTCCCTTCAGAGCCAGGGGTGAGAAAATGGCAGTCCCTGAGGGAACCTAATTTAAATGTCAGTTTTGGGATTAAGGTAATCATGTTCCAGCAGTTCCCATTGCTCTCCACTGTTACAAGCGGGGTTTTGAACATCCCAGAGAGACAAACTCCCCACCAGTGCTTGCTGTGAGTGTTGTGGTCCCCTCTCCCAGTGAGATGCAGTCTGTCGTCATGGGAGGAGCAACAGAAGATGGGTAAATTTTGGTTATTTCCTTTTCCCCTCACTGTTACTGAAGGACAAGGAAGGCAGCTCAGACTGTCTGCTCCTCTCAGGGCTTCTGGCTTCATCTTTTTACTGCTGTGATTATTAATTGATCAAATAGAGAAGCAGAAGAGGGTTTGGGATGTGTGACTGCCATCCCAGCTGGTGAGATGAGCAGACTCAAAGCAGAGAATTGGTCCTGCTCCTGCAAAGGGCCCTCTTAAGATGTCTAAAGCTGCATGGACCAATCATTTTGTATTAAGTTGATTTGGCACAGTTTGCTCTTCTGCCTCTTTCATAGAGAAGAGCAGCCTTCCTCCAGAAACTGAAAGCCACCAGCATTTTCCAGAAGTGGGCAATGACAAAAGAAAAGGAAAATAGAAAACCAGCCATAAAAAAAAACCCCAAAAAAACCCACCAAAAAACAAACAACAAAACCTTTTAAATAGCAGCTGAAAGACATATCATGCAGCTTCCAGGGAACTCAGACAAACCTTGAGATGCTCCAGCCAGCAGAGGTGAAAATGGAAATGTAGGAAGTGTGGTGTGAAATTGCAGGACCCTCCTGGCTCTGCAGCCCGCGCCTTGGCGTGATTCTGGAGTGCAGATTTAGCACAGCATCCTGGGAGAGCACATTTCAGTTCCTGCATTTCATTCATTTTTATGCCTTTCTAATGCAGATGCAGCTGAACTATACCATTGATTCATGCACACACCTCTTTTCCATATAGATGATGACTGCATCAAAGGAGCCAGCGCTCTGAAATAGCACACAGTGAAATACCACAGCAATTCTCATTTGGAGTCTATAGTGGGAGAGCAATTTCCAAAAATGAAGGGCAAGGTTCCTAATCCATAGCAGCTTTCTGCCAGAGAGATGTGGGAGAGAAGAAACAGGATGCATCCTGCATGAATCATCGCTGTAACCACCCTGGATTTATTAACTGAAATTATGAGGAATAACCAAAAGTGATTAAAAGCTCAGATGTCTGCTGAAAGGCGTCGCCTCAGGCACTGGCTGTTGTGAGATAGTGCCACAGTCTTCCTGTTGATTTCAAAGAATTGAGGGCAAAAAGGTCAAGCTTTCAAGAGCAAATAATTCATTGTTTAAAATTATGGGACAGCCACCTATCACAGAGAGGGGTAAAGACATCCCCAGGTCCTGGGAACCTTGTCCTTCCCCAAAACAGGGTGACTACAACCACCCCTTCTCCTTTCCACTCACCAGCTCACTGGTATTTGCACAGCTGCTGCCTCCCACTCCTGCCTTAGAGACCCCAAATTCCCCCTTCATTTCCACCACCACCACCTGTAGATTCATCCTCCTCGTCCTTTGCATGGAGAATGTCCAGGTTTGGGGCCAGTTTTTGGCAGAGCAGTCACAGTTTCTCCTCGAGGTTCTTCCTCCAGGTGTTGCTTTGTGACCCCATCCCAGACTGCCTGGCCAGGAGAAGGGCACAAGCCACCCCCACACTGGAATAATTTTCTGTATCCAAAATTATGCTCAGTGCTGCACGTTCTGAGCTGCTTCTTTGACCTTGCCCCAAAACAATCCCTGAGGTCCCAGAAGCTGGGAGCTCTGTGAGCTCAGGGGGTGTGAAGGAGCCATGGGGTGATCGGTGGAAGGAGCAGGAGAACTTTTCTTGCCCTTCAAGCCACATCCCTTGCAGTGCCCTCACTCCATATTTTACGAGCTTATTTGTGCATTCAAATTCTCCTGGGTTGTGTCCTGGCTATCACGGGTTCCAAATCAAAATTCCTGCTTTATCCAGCTGGTTCTGCAGGGCTGTCCTTGGCAGCTGGCTCCTGCAGGCTCCTGGAGGGAATCAGGGATGCTGATTTCCTTTGCTGGTCATCTCCCAATATCAGCTTCCCCTTTCACTGTCCTTGGACATCTTCACTGTGCCCAGGCTCCAGAGCCCTCCCTGCTGTGCTTCAGCCCCATGAGCTCCCTTTGGGATAAGAGTGCAGGAATTTTTTCCCTCCATCTGCCACATCCTGGCCTGAGCTCTACCCACTCTCAGCCTCATCCAGATCTCCCAGGAGGAGCTTTATGGTCCTGAACAGGGAAATCATCACTGCAGTGAGAAATGCTGGAGAGTCCAGAGCACCTCCTGAGTGCCCTGAACAAGCTGGAAGAGAAGTTTCACTGGGTGACATCAAGGACACACATCAAGGACTCTCAGTGAAGTTTGGGGCACACAGCCCTCATCTCTCTCTGTGCTCACTTCATGGGTGGCTCTGTTTTTCTGTCCCTTTTGGCCAGCTGCTGATGGAGAAGTGAGGAGGGAAGCAGAGATGGAGATGTTCCTCCCACAGGGGTCTGCTTCTCCTTGGGCAGCCCTGAGGATCTGGAGATAACAATGTGTGTTTGCCCTGTATTTTAGAGAGGCAGGGAAGCTCAGACCCAAGTCAGCCAGGTCATTTCCATTTCATGCTGTCAGAGCTCAAGCAGAGGGAGGAGAAGGTTTTTGTTTTGTTGGTTTTGTTTTGAGGGTTTTCTGTTTGTTGGTTTTTCCCTTCCCTGCGCTCAACAGTGACACTCCAGCATCCTGGAAAACACAGCAGAGGTAGGTGGCTCTACCCAAGAGCAAAACAGCCTAAATTGTAGCCCTTAAAGACAGGGCCATCCTGTCAACATTAGGGTTTCTGTATAAACCAGCCAAGGGGTGAAAAATCTGGAAGGGATGGGCTTGGATTTACCAGGCATGAAGGAAGGGTGAGGAATTCCTGGGATCAAGGACTGGAAAGGGCATCTCCATGGTCTGCATGGCTCAGCTCTGGGCTCTGCATCCTTGAAGGCTCTCCCCACATTCAGGGCTGTTCATCTGGGGAGGCTGGATACCCACTCCTTGCTATTTTTAAAGCTGAATGTTAATATCTTTAATTGCCAGAGCTCCAGGAAGGGAGCCAGAGCTAAAAAGTATCTACTAAGAAACTGCCAAGAAACACTGTTAAACAGGATCTAGGAAAAAAGCCAGGCACAAAAATTTATGATCTTTATCTCTGCAATAATAATTTCTCAGTGGTCAACCAAGGAGCAGAACAAAGGTCACTGGTTTTGTATCAGCTGGAGTTTGTGAAATCCTTTGTTTCCTTCACTCTGAGCTTGTCCTGTGGGTCTCTACCAATGAACACAAAAACCTGACAGTCCTCACTGACCCATTTGTCCCCATTCTTTCCCCAAGACCCAAAAACTGCAATTCCAGATCAGAGACCCTTCCCAGCACAGGGAAAAGCCCAGCCTGGATCCTCATCTTGTTTCACCTCATTTACTAAACAAGATATCCATAGGAATGGTCCAGTGAACTTCTGTGTTGCTAAAGCCACCTCACATGAACAGTCATGTTGATTCTATCTAAGAATTTTGCATTTGCACAGTTGCAAGAGCCAACCTCATCTCAGGTTTCCTTTTTTCCAGCATGATGGGGGACAAGCAAGGGATCCATGGAGACTTCTGCAAATAAATTAAAGGAGAAGAAGCTGCTTTTTTATTATTATTTCCTGGTTCTATAGTGGAAACAATTCTAGGCAAAATATACACAGTTTGCTTCTTGACGTGGCTGCCAAGATTTCCAACTTTACAACGAGGATCAGATTTCAGAATGCTTCCAAACCAACCCCCACAAAAAAAAAAAAAATTGACTATCCAGGAAACTCTTGGCTTTGGATGTTGTTTATTTTTAAGGTAAAGTTCTGATCCCAGTGAACTGCAGAGGGGAACTTTGAAAATACGATCTCTATGAGCCTGAATGACTCAAGGGGTGGTATCCAGTGCCTACACACAGGAGCCTGGTGCCATCTGAGATGCCCCTGTGCATCTGAGACATCCCACAGTGCTGGCAAAGGGACACAGAGCCCAGGGAAGACAAGCAGGAGCTGGAGTCTGGGTCTGGATACCCCAGAGCTCCTATCTTGGCTCTGGGAATGGTGTTTGGACAGCCCAGCCCAGCCCTAACACACACATATAAAATGTATATAATCAAATCAATCAGCCACTCAATCAATCACGGGAGATACTTCCAGATCTTGGGGTTTCATGTCAGCTCTGGAGGCAATTTAAGCAGCATTTCAACACTCAGGGCTGTGTTAGAAACACACTATTTGCTTCACTGACACTTCCAAGCATGCTGAAGCACTCAGCTGGCCCAGGCTCCCTGCTCCCACCCTTGCTGCTCACATCCTCTCCTCCATCCTCTGTTCCTTCTGCAGCTCTACCACAGATTACAAGAGAAAAAGCAGAGTTTTTTGGGGTGTTTTTTTTCCATGGAGAGGTGTGCAAAATGCAGGAGGCAAAGACTTTCCACTGGGCAAGGCTGTGATGAGGTTTATAGCACCCTTAGGGGCTGTAGAAGGGGCTGGCACACGAAGCACCAGCAGCTCTGGGGCAGCATTACCTCAGAAAGTCAGCGCCCTCATGGAAAAGGAGGATATTTTTAGTTTACCAGTGTATTTAAATCATCATGGAGTACATTAAAATTACAGTAATTATCCCACCTTCTCATGTGGGATCCTGGGAGGTGACGGATTGGTGGATCGTGTGCTCGTTGGAGTCATCTTTGGTGAGGTCCTTCTGCAAAACAGAATTGTTTTGTTTTCCCCATTTCACAGCTGCAGCATTCCTGGCCCATTAATGCCTATCATTTGAATTCTGGGATCTGTTCACAAACCATCCTTCCCTCTCCAGCAGCCAAGACAACCCTGTGACACCAACTCCTTCAGAACAAAAATGCATTTACACACTCCTGGAGTTGTGATTTCCACATGCTGATGTTTTCTGCATGGCAATATTTAACCTCTGAATTATTTCTGCTTCCCCCTGCATGGCTGCACTGAGGGGAAATGCAGGGAAACCTGATGGTCCCTGCTCTCATCTCAGCAGTGCAGGGGATTTGTTCCATTGCAGCAGCAGCAGCTTTGGGAAAGAACTGTGAAAAAATGCAACTTTTTTCACAGAAAAAAAAAGAAAAAAAGATGCATTCTTTCCCGGATCAGAAGCTTCATGTTTCTGATTGCAAAGAAAAAAAAATAGGGAGGGATTGAACAGAAAAATCTTGACGAATAAATCATTTCCCTTATAAACTGTCATCACCAAATTCTGGCTATCTCCATTTTTAAACCCTCTCTTGAAGGATGGTGCATCTGATTTCAAGATGAGGTCTCTTCTTCTTTTTGTTCCTTTTCAGGAAAACAGGAATATTTTGTCTTAAAAATGGTTCCTGGTACTTCTGGATGGATCAGAGGTGGGGAGAAGTCCCCAGCATCTCTGCTGGTGGAGTTCCAGGTTTCTGCCAAGCCCTGAGCTGTCCCCAGCCCTGCAGCACCTTGCAGGTCCCCCAGCCCTGATGGTCCCAAACCCTGTGGCAGCTCTGCATCCCTGTGGGGTGGGAGATGTCCCCACTGTCCTCTTCTGCATGTGGGGAGCCTTGCCAGCACCCGGCCATCCCCAGCCTCACACCCCTGCTCTCTGCCCCCTTCCAGCTCCTCCAGCAGCATGGTCCTGATTATTTACTCTCTCTAAATGCTGCAGAAAAAGGCTGCTTCT